AGCACATTCTGGGACTCTGTGATTCTGTGACATGGCTGTGGGGTGGTGGCAGGGATGGGGACAATCACCTGCTCTTTCTGCCCCTCAGGCTTGCCTGGTGCCCACCCCTGAGACGGTCCGTGTGCGGTACCTCCTGGACAGGCTCCTGCAGTGCCGGCGCCCCGTGATGCTGGTGGGCAGCGCGGGCACAGGGAAGTCTGTGCTGGTGGGGGACAAACTCTCCTCTCTGGACACGGACACATATGTGGTGAAGAAGGTCCCATTTAACTACTACACCACCTCTGCCATGCTGCAAGGTAAGGCTCTGACTGAGTCACAGGTCTCCTGGCACCTTCCCGAATTCCCGGGGCAGCCGCCGGGGTTTGGAGCGTGTGATCAGCGGAGAGTTCGGGGGACGACCTGTAGGTGGGCTGCCCGTGTGGTTTGTGGGCACTGCACTGGCACCTGCAGACCCTTAAATCCCACAATGAAACTCTCTGGTCAGTAGAGCCCTGGTTTTGTTGAAGATGTTGTTTTCCAACATGAGGATTTGAATCCTGAACCCCTCACACTGAGGGCTGTGCCAAACACAGGCTTCAATCTGCTACAGTTTTTATGGCTTGTACTTGACTTGAAGTGTGTCTTTAATGTGCTGGAATTTAAGCCCATGCTGAATAGGATGGGTTTCTTGACAAGGATCCAAACTGTCCTCAGGATGCAATGATGGGAATTGCATCCCAATTAAGCAGTGAGGATGGTGCTAGTGGATAAGTGCAGGCTGTAAGGCAGGGCTGGTTCCTGGGGCTGTCCTTCCATCCTGCTGCAGCCTAACAGAGCAGGTCTCACATCACCCCCTCCCCAGGGGCACAGGGCTTGCTGACTGGGGGGATCCAGAGCCCCAGGGAATGTCCATAGGGATGTTTCTGATGGGGATTTTGGCAAATCAGTGAAATATTAAGTTTGACCCCAAGATAAGGTCAGTTTTGCTGTGCAGTCTCTTCAGAGATGAAGAGAAAGGACGTAGTTCTGGAAAAGTGGCACATTTTGGAACGGTGTCCAAAGAGAGATAAATAATTTTACATGTATTTATTAACCAGTAATGAAGCAACCCGGTTTGTTTTGAGTTGAACAACAGCTGTGGGTCACTGTATACCACACTGCTTCCTCTATTCAGCTTGGTTTGACCCAAAAGACCTGAAATCCTTCTACTTCCCCAGAGAAGCTGTGGTTACTCCATCCCTGGAAGTGTCCAAGGCCAGGTTGGATGGGGCTTGGAGCAACCTGGGCTAGTGGAAGGTGTCCCTGCCCATGGCAGGGGGTGGAGTGAGATGAGCTTTAGGGTCTCTTCCAACCCAAGCCATTCTGTGATTTTATGATGACCTGTGAAGCACCAGGGAGACCAAGGATTAACCTTCCCTGTTTGGTTGTTCCCAGGTGAGGGTGCCAGGTGGGGACACCTCCCAGCCAGGGTCAAAGCTGAAGGCAGGGAGTGTCCTGGACTTCGTCCCTGCTCTGCCAGGCTCCCAACACTGCAAACATCTTAGGAAAGGTTTTTTACAGCACAGGCCCAGCCCATGCTCTGTGGGCTGGGACCGTGTTACAGAATCACAGAACACTCTGAGTTGGAAGTGACCCACAAGGATCAAGTCCAGCTCTTGTCTGAATGGCCCATAGAGGGATCAAACATGACCTTGGTGTTATTGGCACCATGCTCTGACCAACTGAGTGTTGTGGGGCCACAGCTGCTTCCTGGGGCAGGTTGGGAGGATTTCTGGGCTTGCTGGAGCCTCCTGCCTGAGCTCATCACCCCACAGGGCAGTGTCTGTGCCTCTGCACACAGTGAGGAGGCAAATTATTTGGGTTACTTGTCCTTCAAGACAAAAACTGGGTAAAGCCTCCCCTTTTGGCCACTCTCACAGCCCTGGGGGGTGTGATGGTTATCACAGAATCCCAGAATATGCTGAGTTGGAAGGGACCTACAAGAATCATCCAGTCCAGCTCCTGGCCCTGCCTGAGAGGATCAGCCAAACCCTCCTGGAGCTCTGGCAGCCTTGGGGCTGTGCCCACTGCCCTGGGGAGCCTGGGCAGTGCCCAACCAGCCTCTGGGTTCCAGCCTGTCCTTTCCTCCCAGTGTGAGGGGCACCTGTGCTGTGGGTGTGTGCAGGGGAGGGGGCTGATGGAGGCAGAACTGGCCCTGTTTACTCTGAGCTCTGGGCTGAGCCCGTGACTTCCTTCCTCTGCAGAGCACAGCACATCTTCATTGTGGGGATGAAGATGTGGCTGGGAGATCTGCTCTGGGAAGTGTGATTTATACAGCTTGGCCTCCTTCCCTACTGCTCATTTTTTAGAGTTAATTTTCCCCTTTTGTTGGAGTTTGTCAGTTGGCTGCGTTTTTTGTTGCTCCAGCAGGTGCCTCTTTAGATTTGTAAAATGTGCATACAAAGCAGTTTGGGATTTTTTATTTTTATTTACTTTAAAAAGAGCCTGAAAGCCAGGAATCCTTAGACAAGGTGCCTGTTGGGACAGAGATTTTTAAGGTGCAGAGCTGCGTCCTTCAGGGGGAGCACAGGGTTGTCATTCAAAACATAATTGCAGGCCTGTGGCTTACAGAATTTCACATGCATAGAGGTTGAAAGGAGCCAGAATCTCTCTGTGTCCAAACCTGGGACCAGTTTAGGGATTTTCTTTGGTGTATTGTGACCAAATACCACATTCTGTGGCCCCTGATTTGCTGCTTTGTGCCCTTTTGGACCTCTGCTCCTCCTCACTGCTCCATTAGCCCTACCCTGGTATCATTCCACACCTTCCCACTCCAGATCTGCCTTAAGAAAATGACAATAAATGTTGTTTTTTTGGGGCTGAGTATTTTTTACCCCCCTGACCATCAGCCAGCAGGCAAGAGGAGCCACACTGGCCAAGTCTGGTGTGCACTGAATGTTCCATTCAGGGGCTGCTGGGGGTGTGTCAGGAGCTCAGAGGCAGCAGCAGGGACCCTCCAGAATTATTGTGGGATATGGATCTGAATTAAAATGCAACTTCCACAAACATGTCACTTCATCCCCAGTAATTGCATTTCACTGTGATGAATCTCCTGCATCCTTGTTTAACCTCGAAAAGGGCTGATTTTATATGTTAATTAAGGCTTAATTAAATTTAAATTAAATGCTTATTTGAAACACTTAATTTGACTTGCTACCAGAAATTTCAAATATTGTGGTTTTATTGAAGGGGAAGAGTGACTCTGCTGAGGAAAAATCCATCATTTTTCTGAGCACAATTCATGCCTTTTTGTAGCAAGTGTCTATGGCAAGAAAACAGCTGAATTCTGAGCAGTGGGCAAGCCAGACTGTCTGCAGGGGAAAAAATGGGGGGGTTAAAAGATTTGTCGTCTAAAAAAACCAGAATATAATTTTTTAAAAATATCTCTGGCCCTTGGTAAGCAATGGCTGAAGTGAACATTTGCACATGGAGATTTTTAACGAAATTCCTAGTCATCCCTAATTTCAAAGTGTTCCTTGCCATGCTGCTTAACCCCAAACTGAGCCAATGAAACAAGTTCTGTCTCCATCCCCAGGAGAGCAGGGAGCCCCTGAGAGCTCCCTGATGTCCAAGAAAGCTCCTTGGCAGGAAAATCATCCCAGGGTCTGGGCAGAGGAGAGTTGCTGCTATGTGCTTGGCCACTTACTGAGGCAGGAAAGGTTGTTTGGGCTGCAGTGAAAGGAATCAATAAGCTGTAAAACATTATGTGCAGCAGTGTGGGGTGATTTGCATTAAATATCAGCCCAGCATCATAAATATTCCCCATATGTTATAGTCTAGAGCAACATATAACCTCAGCCTTCTGCTAAAACAAAGGAAAATCTTTCAGGGCTTCGAAATGAGAAGTTTTCTCTCCGTGGTGTCCTTTGCTCGTGGGTGACCTGACTGAAAACTGGGTGGGAATGTGACAGCTCATGTTGGAATTGAGTCTTGTTGCATTTTCTGGAGTTTTGGGTAATGCTGGGGAGGGGATCAGAGAACTGGTTGGTATTTGGGGTTGTTCAGCCTGGAGGAGAGAAGGCTCCAGGGAGACCTTCTAGCACCTTCCAGTGCCTAAAGGGACTCCAGGAGAGCTGAAGAGGGACTTGGGAGAAGGGCATGTAATGTCCCATCCCTGGAAGTGTCCCAGGCCAGCTTGGATGGGGCTTGGAGCAACCTGGGCTGGTGGAAGGTGCCCCTGCCCATGGCAGGGGGTTGGAACTAGATGATCTTTAAGGTCCTTTCCAACCCAAGCCATCCTGTGATTCTGGGATTATATCTGGTGCATTCAAATAAATAATATTATTTTGATTGTTCTAAAGTTGTCCAGGATTTTGGCCCTGAAAACACCCATTTCCTTTGTCTAACAAGCATAAGAAGTTCATTTTCATTCACAAAATCAGCTTTGCTCCTGGGCTTGGTGCCCCAGCACCTCCTTGGTTCCATCCCAGTGCCCAGTCACTTCTGCCTGGGCTCGGGGGGTGTCTGTGCTACATCTGGGGCAGGGCAGTGAAGGGGACACACTGCTTCCATGTTGTGGATCAGAATAAACTCAGGAAGCAGGACTGAGTTTAAAAAAATATGCAGAAGGGATTCAAAAGGCTTTATCTTGCATGAAAAGCTTTGTTTGCTCTGAAGTAAATCAGGCTTGTAGCAGAGTGTTTGCTGTGCTTTGTTTGCAAGGAGGAACTGAAAACTGTGATTTGGGTTGAGTCAGACCAAAAATCTGCCTGAGGGTCCCTGCCAGCCACAGCCTGGGGACAGCCACCATCCTGCCAGCCCCAGCCAGGGTTCCTGGCCTTGGGACAGCCACTGTCCTGCTGGGGAGCAGTGTCCTGTGCCAAGACCAGCTCTTCCTCCCCAGAGAGCTCTGAACAGCCCAGATGGACCCGAGGGGGCCGGGGACTCCCCCTGTGCCCACCTGGAGCCCTGCCTGCCCTCACAGAGCTGGGCTCCTGCTGGAGCTGCTCACACTGGGCTGAGGAATCATTTCTATTTCCCTCTGCCCATACAGGTGTGCTGGAGAAGCCTCTGGACAAGAAGGCTGGCAGGACCTACGGCCCCCCGGGCACCAAGAGGCTCGTGTACTTCATCGACGACCTCAACATGCCCCAGGTGGACACATATGGGACAGTGCAGCCCCACACCCTGCTCAGGCAGCACCTGGACTATGGACACTGGTAGGAGGCTTGGGGGGCCAAGACCTCTTCATCCAGCTCTGCTGTTGGGGATGGAGTTTGAGAGAAAGTCACAGTGTGGATCCCTCTTCCCATCCCGTGTTGGCCACGGCATCCGGCTGGGCTGGGCTGGAGCTTGCTGGGAGGCTCTGGATGAACAGGCCATTGTGCACCCTCAGGGTGTCCCCTGTCCCCAGCAAACACACTCCCTGCCTGGCTGAGGGAGCTTCACTCCACTCCTGCTCGTCTAGTGACTGATCCCAGTGCAAAGCCTGCAAGGCTCAGCCTGAGCCCTGCTGTGCTGAGAGTGGGGGAAGGACATGGATTGGCCTCAGCTGGGATAAGCCACCCCTGCTGTGAGCACCTCATACTGTTTTCAGTCAGACAGCAGCAAACAGGCATTTTCCAGGCACAGGTAATTTGAAGGAAAACCCCTGATAGTGTTTTAGAAGGAGATGGGTGTGTTTGACACCTCAGCCAGCAGTGCTGTGTGGGACAGGGATACTCCCAGCTCTCCCACAGGGAATACAGGGCAGGGACTTGGAGCAATTCCAAGTCTCCTCAGCTGTGTGTGTGCCTGACCTTGGCCAAAAGCTTCTCAAGTACAGGGACAGTAGGGTGGAGGCAGAAATTCGGGGCTGTGGGTGTTGGGGAGGTTGGGCAGAAGGAGGGCTCAGGGGGTGAATGGGAGCACTGACATGTGGGGGACACCCTGTGCCCCCTGTCCCTCCCAGGCTCTCCCGAGCTCTCTAACCCCTCTTGGCAGTGCCCTTTGGGTGTTGCCCCCTTGGTGGTCCCACGCACAGCCCATCAGGGTGCAGCTCACCCAGGGTGGTGAGCAGGGAGAGGGGCACAGCTCCCTGTGCCTTCGGGCTGACCTGGCCCAGCAGTGACCCTGAGCTCTGCTCTGGGGGCTGTACCCCAGCTCTCCCTGCAGCCCCCCCATCCTTCCCCATGGGCAGCGCTGGGCAGCCCTCCTACCCCATCCCAGGCTGGCCAAACCAGAGGCACTCCTGGGATTTCCCACAGTTTCCACACCAGTGATGGGTCTGACCCGAGGGCTTTGCTCAGTGGTTGTTACCAGCTGATGGAAATACCAGCTACAGGATTTCCCCCAGGAGCAGAACTGAGGGGAGACCTCCCTGCAGGTCCAACTTCCTGGGCAGGGGCAGAGGAGGGGCAGGGACTGAGCTCTGCTCTGGGGGGAGCAGGGACAGCAGCCAGGGAATGGCTGGAGCTGTGTCAGGGCAGGGTCAGGTTGGATCTCAGGCAAAGGTTCTTCCCCCAGAGGCTGGTTGGGCACTGCCCAGGCTCCCCAGGGCAGTGGGCACAGCCCCAAGGCTGCCAGAGCTCCAGGAGGGTTTGGCTGATCCTCTGGGACACAGGGGGTGACTCTTGGGGATGGGCCTTTGCAGGGCTGAGGGTTGGACTGGATGATCCTTGTGGGTCCCTCAACTCAGCATATTCCATGATTCTGTGACTCTGTGTGCAGACATGCAGCCCTGGTGAGGGACAGAACGTGATTCCCCTCAATGTGTCCCCTGAAGCCACGGGGACACTGGGAGCCCACAAACAAGCTCCAGGGGGTGGCAGCAATGACTGCTCTGGTCACCATCCGTGGCTTTTGCTTTGCCCAAAGGTATGACCGGACCAGGCTGTCCCTGAAGGAGATCACCAATGTGCAGTACGTGTCCTGCATGAACCCCACTGCAGGGAACTTCACCATCAACCCCCGGCTGCAGGTAAAGCCCTGCACGATGGCACTGCCCTGGGGTTGGCTTTGGGTGGAGTGTTCAAGATGAGGCTCAAGGAGAACCTCCGGCAGATCCTGCTGTCATTTGATCAGTAGAAACATGCTGGATCTGTTGAGTGACTAACTCCTGATGGAGAGGCAGCAAACTTGCTGCCTTTTTCTCTTCTTTGTGTTTCTCTCATTCTGCTGCGCAGTGGGAGGAAAAGGTCCCAGGTTCCCAGCCAGCCACACCCACTCTCAGGAAGCCTTCTGGTTCAGACAGGCACATTCTGCCTTCATTAGGGTGATATTTGCCTCTGGGCCATAGTTCATTAAAGCTTTTTGGTGGTCAGGCACTGGAACTGGCTACCCAGGGGAATGGGGTCACCATCCCTGGAAGTGTCCAAAGATGAGTAGATGTGGCCCTTCACTGTATGGTTTAGTGGGGATTTGGGAGTTGGCCAAAGGTTGAACTTAATGATCTTGGAGGTCTTTTCCAACATTAATGATTCTATAATCTCCTTACTCTTTGCAAGTTCCAAATCAATAAAGGGTCTTCTGAGAGGTGGCACCTTCCAGGGGCTGCTCCTACCAGAGACAAGACTGGGCTTCGTCAGGGGTCAGTGGGACCTTCAGACCTTTCAGCTCTTCACTGGACTGAGCTTGCAGTGTAGCCACTGTGAAATGCCACTGGAAATCCCTTGTTCAGTGAGCAAAAGGTGTCACTTACAGCTGTCCTCTGCTGGGAAATTGGAAGGGGGAGATAGTTCTGGTGGGATCATAGAGCATCCCAGGTTGGAAGGAACCTCTAAAGATCATCTGGGCCAACCTTGCCTGGGAAGTGGAGCCCAGACTAGTTTATCCAGCACTGTGTCCAACCACATCAAGTCCTCACAAGGCATCTGAGTTGGGAGGTCACTGCCCATCTCTCTGACCTTTCCATGTCTCCCTTTCTCCTCCTCAGCGTCACTTCTGTGTCTTCGCTCTCTCCAACCCTGACCAGGATGCCTTGACCAGGATCTACAGCACCATTTTGGTGCAGCACCTGACCAGTGGGAATTTCTCAGAGGCTGTGCAAAAATCAGCCCAGCAGCTGATTGCCCTCGCCCTGGGGCTGCACAGGAGGGTGGCTGCCACCTTCCTGCCAACAGCTGTCAAGTTCCACTACGTTTTCAATCTGAGAGACTTCTCCAACATCTTCCAAGTAAGTGCAGTCCCTGTCTGTGGCACTTGGAGCTTGTTCCAATGCCATGGGAGGCTGTGGACCTGTGTCCCTCTGGCCCTTGGTGAACAAAGTGCAGTGTCCCACCCAGCAATTTCTGAGTAAAAGAGATGACCTTGGGCCATTCCCTAATTCCTGCTTGGTTTTGAATGGGTTCTAGAGCCACCACTGGCTCTGGATGTTTCACTTTGAGGAACATCAGTTAAAAGCTTATTTGCTTTCCAGCCTCCCCTGGTCAATGGACAGGGATGCACAGTTCCAGAAGGAGGTATGGGGTTTAGAGGGGGTTGAAGTGTTCTCTGGCTGGAGAAAGGACCATCTGGAGGGAGCTTTGGGCTCCCAACCTCAGCCCTTCATGCAGTGGCTGTTGGTGAGTGTGATGGAGCTGGGCTTGTCTTTGTCAGTCTCAGATCCACTCACGTGAGTGTGGGATCAATGGCACCTCTCCACCACACAGGGACATTATTTACTGTGTGGAGCAGCCGGTGGATACTTTGTGGGCTGCTGGCCCTGAAGAGAGGAGAGCAGTGACTGGTTCAGCTGCTCTGCCAGAGCCAGGACAGCTTGGTGGCCTGTACTGTCATGTCCTCTCAAGTGCTCAGCATTTTATGTGCAGGATGGCATTTAAAGAGTAGATAAATCACTCCAAACCAGCTTTGACTTAATCATTGAAACTGAATTACCAGCCACTGTACCAAAGGGAAGTTGTCCAGCTTTAGAAATGTTTTCTTCCATCACTGGAGAGATCCTGGTTTTGTGTTTTCCCCAGCAATCTCATGCATTGAAGCAGTAGATGTTACTGCTCAAAGAGCCTTTCAGAATTTCAGACTGATTAATGAAATTAGAGGAAATTTCTCAGGAGCCAAATCAAGGGATTTGAAACACCATAACCTATTCTAAACCCCCAGCTGGTAATTTGTCGCTACCCTTGTTAACATCTGTTTTACAAAGCAGGTGCTGGAAGTTCAATGCCTTGTCTCTGGTCCATCAGACAAGAGCTGAAAGAATGACAGGACATGGGAAATCCGAGAACAGGACCTTGAACAAGTTAATAACTCTACTGTGTCAGGAAGGAATCAGACCTGTCACTTGTGCTCAGCTGAACAGCAGCCCTGATGTGAGATGTGGGTCATGTTAAATCCCAGCTCCAGTTAATCTGGGCTTTGAAAGGCACAGGGAGGGAACAGAAGCATTTCAATGGGAAGCTTTAATCTGAACTGTTGTCTGCTTGAAAGGAGCCAAGGTTATAGGGGGTTAGAAAATGTCCTGCCAGATCCTGGGGCTGGGCCAGAGAGTAGGAGCAGGACAGGAATTGCTCCTCATTCTCCTCCTTTTCATGGAGATTATGGGAAAAAACAGGCCGAGGTCAGGTCCTGCCCTGCCAGAGCCACCACAGCCTGTCCCCGGTGGCACAGGGATGTGTGATGACCCAGCAAGTGGGTCCTGCTGGGATGATGAGCATATTCCCTGTTCTGTGCCAAATAGGCCTCATCTCCTGGGGTGTCTGTTCAGCCCCTGAGGAACCATCACTCAGCATTACCCTGCAGGGAATCCAGAGCTGGTGAGTCCCAGGTGGAGGCTGGTGGTTCCCAGAGCCTGGTGGGACCCCCCACATCCCAACAGCCACAGTGACCCTGCTGCAGAGTCCCTTGTCATCACCAGGGGCAGATCCTGGTGGGTGCCAGTTGTCCCTGAGTCAGCAGTGCCCTGGCAGCCAGAAAGGCCAACCCTGTCCTGGGGGCATCAGGCCCAGCATGGCCGGGCCAGGGAGGGGATTGTCCTGCTCTGCTCTGCCCTGGGGTGGCCTCACCTCAACATTGGGGCAGTTTGGGGGGACACAATGGAAGGAAGAGATTGAGCCATTAGAGAGTGTCCAAAGGAGGGAAGGAGGATGGGGAAGGGCCTTGATTTGAAG